GCGCCACAATCTATGAAGCATCTTTGGAAAAAAAATAGAAAAGAATGAACAACATACGAAAAGCTGCAAAATCAAATACAAGCAAATAGGGCTTAATTACCAGATCTCCTTCACTTTCAAAAGTGAAAACACAGCTTTAGTCGATTGGCGAATTGCCCTTTCAAACCACCACCTGCTCGTCTTTAGTAGAGTAAGTCAATGTTAGCTTCGGGGTCGTTTTATTAAGGCAAGACTAGTCTTTTTTGAGTTCTACAGCTAGATACCGATTAAGCGAAACTGCAGAGTAAAATACTTACTTGAATGTTAAAGGTACTCTACTTCTCTTATTTTAAACGCTGCGTACCTTTCTTAGGGTCTCTCCTCCCAGTTTAAGCACGGTTACTTCTAGGAAGCGTTGTTCAGATAAATTAGCACCAACTTTTTTTAGACTCTTTTTTTTTTTACAAGAGCTTTTTCTTTTCCAATTCCTTGAGTACAACATTTTCTCTAATTTACAGTTTACACTACATAAAAATTACCTAAGGGTCACCTGAGGAACCTCTCCAGCGGCTATTGTAAAGGACATTTCAGCAGAGGAACTTCTCACATCCTTAGTCACATTCAGCTTTAGGAAGAAGGTCCTGTCGATTTCAAGTTTACTTGGATCAACAGTTATGATTGTACGGTTTAAGTCTCCTTCGTTTAGAAAAGAATCGAAGCAAGTGTTGCTTACAGAAGTGTTACTCCGACAGGACCAACTGAAATTGAGCCCGGTATGTATTCCAGGGCCAATGTCTGCGTCGTAACTTAAAGAGCCATTCACAGTGACGTTTTGCTTGGACCCCCACCTTACATTGCTTCCCCCATCAAGAATGGCTCGCAAGGGAGCCGCAATAACCTCGATGAAGCCATAATCAAAGGCGTTGAGAATTTTTGGGGATGCTGGATCTCCAACTGCGAGTGTAGCATTGAATTTGACTTGATAGATACCAGCAGGTAAGGATCGTTTGTCTATCGTCCATTCCGTCGTCCCTTGACTGACTATCGTTCCTAATGCTGACTCCGAGGCAGCTAACTCCATTTCGCTAACCACACTCCATTCAAAGGTACTTTTCAATACAATTAAATCTTTATTTAGACCATGTATCAGGGCTTCTCGGACACTTTTGACTGAGCGCTGCACAGGTGTGGCCTGATATTTGTCTTTTGAACTGTTTCTAATGGTCACTGAGAAATCTCCTGCGGATAATATAGTGAACGGAATTTTTGCATCATTTTTCCCCCTCAAAGAAAAACAAACCTTTGTAAGATGGGTTTAGTTCCTAATGAATTCACTCATGTTTTACGTCAACGTTAAAAGTATGAAATAGCGATAAATTTTCAAGGTTGAGATAAAATCGTGCCTTTTTATGTAGTGCCTCGTGTACAGAGGTTCACAGACAAAAACTGATGGTAATAACAAATTATCAGCTAGATATTCTTTCACTGTAATTTGACATCATTCTTACCAAAGGGCTCACATGATATCCCATCACCAATGTAGCTTTTTCGGCACTCACAGCTGAAGGATCCCGGAATGTTAAAACAGTAAGCAACTCCATGACAGTTATGAGCTGATATTGCACATTCGTCGATATCTATAGAATCATAGAAACGAGCAGAAATTTCGAGTAGTTTCATTGTTTCAGGTTTCACAAATGAAACTCTTTATCAGTTGCTTTCAACTCATAAAAAATCGCGTCCTTAAACCTAGCAGTGCATTACCATAGAGAACATATAAACATCTCTCACCTATACAAGCTGTACCGTTTCCTTCATACCCTGCAATGCATGTACAATAAAAAGATCCAACAGCGTTGTTACAAACAGCCAATGAGTCGCAGTTGTGCACATTTGTAGTACATTCGTCGATATCTAAACGAAAGAAAAAAATAGCTGGGAGTAAAAAAAAAAACGCATGAAGCGTTTAAGACACGGGTGGCTATTAAGGTAAAATATACCCGCTCTATGGCAAAAACAGATCAGTTAAAACAGACTACTTTAGCTATCAAACTTCAAAATAGCGAAGTTTCCCTGGTGCTCCTTGTTGTAGAGACCCATGGAATTTAGAAAAGGCAACGTAAAAAATTACTAAAGTAGCCTTAGTCACCGTATATTTTTAATAACATTTCTCTCGTTTTGCATCATGTGGACAGAAAATCCACTAGATGACCCACAACACGAGACGCACGGTCGTGTAGTTTTATCTTCACGTGATAATACACATTCCAATGAGTAGTACGTACCTCGACAGCTCACGCCATCTCCTGAGTACCCATTGAGACAAGTGCAGTTATATGAGCCAAACGTGTTGTTACACTGAGCGTTCACGTCACAGTTGTGTTTATGATCCTGGCATTCATCTTCATCTGAGCAGAAATAGTAATTATGGGAACAAAGTCATATCCCATCCTCGAGTATAATTACCATCAACAGGCTCTTGCAGATTTCAATATGGACATTTAATACACTTTTAAATATTTACTTGAAATGTGTGAGAAAAGAGAATAAAGATTGCATGTAAATTTAACATGTACAGATGCCTGTGTATGCCTGCAAATATTCAACGAGCTTTCAAATGAATTCATTAATAAATCACTAATAAAATAAAAAGTTTAGAAAACTAACTGACCATTTCGAATACACTGGACACACGTAAGCATAATTACATGCCACACACAGCTGTTCTTAGTATGACTCGTTATATTCATCTTTACCTAGGCCGAGATGTTTCACTCTATTTATTTGCTCTGCCGTTAAGGCTAAGTCATAAAACTGCATGGCAGCAATTCTGGCTGTCAAATGACGGGGATCGTCTGCTTTGACACCAACTCTGACGTTATCCTGTGTACCCAGCGTTATGCCGGCCCCGATATTCCTCTCTACTACTCTCACTCCATTAACCCATACACTTTCCATTCCAGTTATATAGTCGTAAGAAGCACCAATATAATGCCATTTGTGCGTCGCCAAAGGCTGATTGGTCAATAACGAGCCCCATGTATTTAAGTAATCTCTGTTTCTGAAATGAACGTAAATAATTCCATTTGGGCCTATCCAAAAGTGAACGGCCCAGGCACCCCTTGATTTGTAATTAAATAAAGCCCCGTCGTGTGTATTTTCAGGATACAACCAACATAGCAATGTGATTGAGTGTTTCAAGTCTAATCCCCCATCGTTTGGGAACTCGATGTAGCTGTTCGCATGCCCAGAGAATCGATAAGAGCCACCTATGTCGCCATTCGGACCTATCGCTAAGGATACATCCCCACGAATGCCTTGGGGTTGTTTATTAGTGATCTCCCTTGTTTCAAAGAAACTGTTCAAAGGAAAAGTGGCTTTTGCTTCTGGGATTTTGGCGGCTGCAAGAAAAGTAATTAACGAGTTAGCTTGATATTTTGCAGATTGTAATTTATCTAAATACAACATTAGCAACTAAAGACTGCCACCTACTGAAGGATTTAATTTATGTCTAAGGGGACGCCACACTTTATCAATACGATATATCTCTCTCTATTATCCATGTTCAGTGCTATATTATATTGTGTGATTCCAGTCACGATAAAGACATACCTTGCACTAAGCCTCGATTAAATTTAACGTTATAAATAGGGCGTAATGTATAAAATTGTGTATTTCATTTTCATCGATAGTTATAGCTGGGAAGTCAGGTCAATTTGTGTATCACACCAAATCAATTAACATCATCTCCTGAGAATTCCTGAAGACAAGCACCATTGAATGAGCCCATAGTATTGTTACATTGCGCCATTTCATGATAATTATGAGTCCGCTTTATATGAGTTCCTACGTGTTTGACTCCTTCTCCTATTTAACTGTCTATTTGTCTGTCTGTCGAACTAACTTTCCAGTGCAATCTTTTGGCTTATCTGTGTGTTTCGCTATAGGGATAGACAGCTGATTGTAACATTCTGGCAATTGTTGCACCATTTACGTTTTCCTGACAACCCATGGAAAGGAAAACCCATGAATCCATGTCTTCAACTTGCTATCAAGCTTCCGTGGCTTAATACAAGGAGACCTTCAATCAGTTAATGGAAGATTAAAGCCTCCCATCTGAACTTCACTTAAGGTTACCTGAACAACCGAACAGCTCCACCCTCATTGCTATTCCCTCCTGCCAGTCAACTGGACGAAATCGGATGTAACGTCCTACGATAGGTGGGTTCAGGTCATGATAAACGATTGTCTTCTGGTCATAATTCCCAGCAAAGACCTTGATAAATGGAGCAAAAACAAACAAAACAAAACAGAAAAGCAAACGAACAATGAAAAGAGGAATAAAGTTTTAATTTTCTTAGGGCGACAAAAGTGCAACAATTAGATTGATGGTTAATTAGAATCGAATATTTCCTCATGCAATTGACAGCACAACTCTGATTTTCTTCCAGTAGGTGAACATTTTTTTTTCATGATTTCGACACATTTCTCAACACTAATTGACTTGGAAAAATGTAAAAAAAAAGAAAATCCAGGGTTTTCCTAGCACAGTCTAAAGATTTCTTTATGAAAGCTAGTTTCCTCTACGGAAAGGCAGCCCTGCTAATATTGTTATAGACCTTTCTTGTTGTCCCTTGTTCCATGTAATATTGCAGGTAACTTTTTTTATAGCCATACTGTAAATTGTAGCTGGTAACCCACTTAGGCGAAGCATTCATTCCTTGTGTGGCAACTCGTTTCACGATGATATCGTTATTTCGCAAATCGATCTGGAGCCACTGGTCGCCATCTTCTTTCAGAGGCAACCAAGTTCCCTCGCTTAATATTAGTCTGCCCTTAGTCGACGCATGATCTGCATTCAGTTCTGAAGAGGCACTAATTTGTCCGTCAGAAATGGCACCGTTTTCTATACCAAGGGGGTCTTGACATTCTTTATATTTCAAGAACATAAACAAAAAGTTATAATTGAGATTAAATCCGCAACTATCTTCCTTACTATAAGAAAGTTAAAACGGGGACGAAAACAAAATTAGAGGGAAACGTCAAGGAAGAAAATATAACTATTTGAACAAGAATTTGAATAAGTTGTAGGACTAGGCAAGGACTCTTGTAAGAAAAATGGAGATTTTTTGTTAGAGTCTTGTGAATTAAAGGAAAGCTTCTTATTTAACGCCAACAAGACCATGAGCGTAAAATGGAAAATGCTATAACCTTTTTAAGAAGTTCAGATATTCAAGAAGGCAAAATGAAATAATAGTGCACGATATCTTCCGCATAAAGGATAAAAGATAAGCGAACTGCAAATCATTTGTTGAACGACCCAAGAACTCTTATAAGCAATTCAAAATTGAACTTTACCTAGACAGCCGTACAACTCTACTCGCATAGATACCCCACCAATCCAACTTGTGGGTTGGAAACGAATGTATCTTGCCGTGATTGGTGGGGAAAGGTCATGATACACAACGGTGTCTTGGTCTGTATTTCCAGAAAAATTCTAGAGAGAGAGTTGGAAATTAAATCTCATGAGACAAGAGGTTATTTCCACAGGCATTTTTTTTTTTTAGAACATCAGCTTTAATAAGAGTATTTACCCTATTCCTTCGATAAGTTTTCATGTCGTTTTTCTTGTCAGCCCTGAAACTGCTTTCCACCATTCCCAGAAAATAGTATGTACTGATAACATTTCATCACAACACACCGCCCTTAAACCTTCGTGTTGATCGGTTTGCATTTACTTGTTAAACTGACTAAAGATAACTTCAGCAAGACAAAAATAAGCCCCTAACCATGTCCTTCAAACTAAATCACCCCCAACTGGTTTATGACGCCCAAATTATTTTTAATGGAAGTGGCGGCCACTTCAACTCTTCAAACTCTTCAAAACTCATCCAATGTAATTTTCATGAGACCCACTTAACCTTTTGATCTCCTACAGCAACAGGCTTTGGGAATTGAACAACGGTATTTTAAGGGCTTATTCCTTGGAGAATTGTAGTGTTTTAACCTGATCTACGTTTAATTCTGTATTCTAGAAACTGGTCGCTTAGCGAAGTGGTTTTCCTCCCACACGGTATTTCTTAACAATATCCCCAGTTTGTATGAATTTTATGGAAAACGAAGAACAAGTTATTTCGGATAATTATCAAACCTTGGCCTCGTTATGTCCGCGCTCTTTATAAAAGTAGAAATTTATTCCGTCGTTGCTGTAAGTCAGATGGTACTTGGTTACACTACAATGCCAATAACGGATGTTTCGTCCTTGTGTTGCAACCCTTGTTATTTTAATGTATCGATTATTCAGATCAATCTGCAGCCACTGGTTTTCATCATCTGTGAGAGCCACCCAGCCCCCTGCGTTGTGCTGTGTTTCTTTTACGTGAAGTCTACCATAATGAGCACTTTCTTTGTGACTCCATTGGGAAGAGGCGCTCATTTGGTTGTCGGAGATGGCACCACTTTCTACCCCTTGAGCCTCTGCACACTCTAAATGGTATAAATGCTTTGTGTTGAACACAACTTGCATGGTTGTTTTTCAATTGCTAATTCACGCCAATTTAGCACATGCAATAAAATGGGTTTGGGTAATCAATTCTTTCGTTTTTTGTTCATTACATGCTATCAGATTGTTACCGGATGATTAAAAACTGCTCTCTTACATAAATTGCTGTGTTTTATAAGGAGTTTCAGACCACAGAGAGCTGTAATTACACACGTATGGAACTGCGGTATTTTTTTACGTGTGTTTTATATCGGCAATCAGCCGTTGACATGTCACTTGCCTTGCACCACTCTGTCAGGTTGATGAAAGAATTGCAAAGTCTTC